TGCTGCGGAGAGTGGAGGTGTGTTGTTGGTGGGTGGGGGAGGCTGGGGGAGGCCCTGGGAGGGCCAGCACAGGCCACACATAAGTTGGGGGAGTCCAGGCACAGGCCATGCATGAATCAGGGGAGGCCAGGGGAGGGCCTGGGAGGGCTGGTGCAAGCCATTATGTAGGGAGGATGGTGGGGCTGCAGGTGGAAGAAAAAGAGAGGGACTTACTGGAGCAACTTGCAACCTTCCCTGCCGGTTTCCCATTAGCTTTGTTTGTGGGAAGCCAGCAGGGAAGGTTGCAAATGGCGATCATGTGACCATGGCTCCCTGCGACATTGTAACCAAGTGCCGGGCACCCAAGCGCCCAAATCGCAATCATGTGACAGGGGGTACTGCAATGGCCAGAACTTCGAGGATCAGTTGTACGCCCATTTTTTTAGTGCCACCATAACTTTGAATGGTCGCTGAACAAATGGACATCGGCTGAGGACTAACTGTACTTCTTTTAACACTAATAACCTCACTAGGAAACCACAAGTTTTGCTCCATTTCACAGCAAAAATTGTATTAGGAAATGAGTGTGGTAAAGCCTTGCATTGCCAACATTTATAGTGCCTTCTACACAATGCTAAACATACACTGTATGAAGAGAATTATAATCACAGAAAGTATAAAACATCTGTCAAAGTAAATAAAGTTTTTAAGACTTCTATATCCTTGATTCTTTCTTTTTCAAGAAGTATCTACTAGGCGTTGACAAGATTTACAGGAATCCAGACTAAAGTAATGATGAGGATCCCTGCCACCTGGCGGGACCCCAGAAGACAGCCTTTTCTGCTGTGGCATCACCCTCTGGAATATCATCCCCCCGAGATCAGACTTGCCCCGACTCTGCTGGCCTTTTGCAAGGCACTAAAAACCTGGCTTTGCCTGGGGCCCTGAAGGTGTGGGCGAGTCCATCTCATGGTTAATTTGAATGTCGGATGTTATGGGCGTTCTTGGCTGCTAGTTTATGCTATTTTTAAATTTTGATTGTTTTTATTTCATTTTTAATTGTTAGCTGCCCAGTGTCATACATATGAGATGGGTGGGCATATAAATTTATTAAATAAACAAATGAGAAATGTAGTCATTGCATAAAAAAAAAAATGACACAGAGAGATGATGCAACAATATTGATTTTAAAAAGTGAAGCCAGATTCTAATCTATCAAAGAAGTGGGTGCTTAATTTCCCTTGGGAGGAACTTTCTGAGTAGAAAATCAGGTCAAAAACAGTCTGTTTCCACAAAACAGAATAAAAAACTAGAAACAACATATTAGATACTAAACCGAAAAACAAAACTTTGACAGAACGAAGTCTGTCTTATGTAGATCTAGTGAGTAGCAAGTCCCATTGCCTGGATTAAAATAATGTGTACTAAGCCATGATCTGTTTATCCACAGTTTATTGATTAAAGCCCATTTGTCTGTAATGACCCAGCACATTAAATAATAAATCATGTTTTACGAATACAATGGCTGGGTTTTATATAACACACTAACTAATCACATATTGACTTAGTTCATGATATGGGCATATTTCCAGTCTAAAAACTATACTCCAACATTACTGGATAGAAGCCAGGATAAAAACTAAATGTCATTTACATTTAAATTTAATTAAAATTTAAAATAGTTCATTTTTCTCTCCTGTCATATTAACATTTTCAGTTTGGTGACAACTTTGGAAATCTCTGAGGGTTACATATGACATTGGCCTCAGGACGTCTCATGGTACACTCTCATGTAAATATGTGTATGATTGTCGTTTAAATTTTCCATGCTCCTCAGTTAAACTTCTTTGTTCTTACTTTTTTCTTCAGCAAAATAATTAGAAGCACTGGTTTTAAATGTTTTTTACATTAAGGCAGGAGAGGGTTTGTTTAGATGTCTAATATGGATAATTTGATTGTGGCAGGTCTGTGTAGTGAAGCTATGACAACTAAAATATCTCTCAGTCTTATAATCTTCTCCCAAACAAGAGCATCAGGAGATGAAAATTTTATCCTTGAATATTTGCACTTTATAAACAATGCCCTTGGCAGCTGCAATTGTAACTGAATCTCATGGGAAACCAAAATACAAAATTAAAAGAAAGAAAATACTAAAGAGCAAAATAAGGATAATAATACTACAAGTTAACGTTTGTATAGTGAGATTCATTCTCTCTCTCTCTCTCTCTCTCTCTCCTAATTATAAACCTTATACAAATCTGTCTAAGTAAATTCTATTACCTCCCACATAATAGGTGAGGGGCCTGAGCCTGTGAGGGAGAATGGTTAGTTTTGCCTACAGACATGGCAAATATGAACTTATCCAGGAATTTCCAGATTAATAGCACAGCATCCCTAATATCTTCTCTCAAATCTATACGTATGTAAGGCAACTGCCCATAAGCTGAAGTGTGAGTTCTTCCAATTCCTGACACTTGGCTACTACTACACTTGCTCTCCAAAACAAAAATGGAAGAAAATCTATAAGAAGTGTGAGTTTGTGTGTGTGTGTGTGTATGAATATGTATATGTATATATGTAGTATGTCCAGCTTACGTAAAGCAGCAGTCTTACTGTCACTGTTTCAACAACAGTCAGAGTAGTGCAGTCCACACCACAGTATCAATGATGGGATCAGCATTTATTCTTTGCATTAAGAAACGATATGCTTTAAATTCCAGAAATCCTGAACAATGGTCTGAACCTTTGCAAAATTCATGCGTATTATTTTGCACCAAAAAAATATATAATTTGCAGACTCTTTTAAGGACTGGTCATTGTGCAAGAGATTTCATAGCTATTGAGAAACCCCCATCTTAAGCAGCATTCTGGATACATACAGTAGGAATAAAACTGTCAGATATACCACAAAAGCAGACAAATAACTTTTTCAATGGTATGCCCAAATACTGATTCCTATCACAATTTTTCCATTCATGCTGAATGATATTGTGCTTAATTTGAAAATGCTTGATTACATCCTTATTTTAATGTTGTCACTTTTGGTACTGAAATAAATAGGCTACCATTTTCAAGTTATAACTATATATGGTTTAAGAAACATACTATCAAAATTACTACAGGAACACATTCTAACAGAAACCTCAAACCTGATTTATCCATCACTCCACGCCTGACCATAGTACCATATGGGTAAATAATTCTATTCTGACTACTGCCAAGGAGCAGAGCTAAAGCAGAAATTTCTTACCAAACAAGAAATGCAAAATGCAGAAACACCGTGGAAGGGGATGAAAGCCAAATGCTTTGACTCATCTGTGGGGTTTTTTTTATGATAAAACACCATAATGGATAACCTAAGCTATCCCACAGCAATCACTGGTTTCATAAAAATTTTGTCCAGAAATCTTGTACTAAAGTACTAAAAATAATCTGGTTTTAAATCAGTGAAGCTCTAAGCTTGGTTTCTGACAAAACCAGCAGATGCCAGAGAAACTTTCCTAATGGATTTTTTGTCTTTTAAGGTTTGTAAGACTTAGATTTTTTAAAAAGTCAAGATCTTCAGTGTCAGTTGCATTGATCAACTAAACTGTAAAGCAATGTAAGAATGTCTTCCTTCTACTCAGTGCCAAACTCATATCTATTTATTCTTTTAAAAAGGAACTTCAGACAATCTCACACAGGCCAACAAAATTGCACCATACGAAATGCATGGTAGGCAAGCATCTAGGAAATCTCTTCAGTTTTATTCCCTGCTGGATCAGGAGCAAAGAGAAGTATGAAAAAATACAGTGGAATCCATTTTAAAAGGGTAATAAAGTAACGCTTAAAACTTTTTGAAGGTGAAGCCCCAAAAGGAAATTCTACACAATGTTGCTGTAATATAAAACAATATAAATTCACTCCTGTATTCTTTTTAATAAGAAAAGGTAGCAAACAAAAGAAAAAATAAATATGGGAGTTGCCAAACATTCCAAAGAGGAACTGCATTGGCACAAATATTAATGCAAGGAAAGGAAAACAGGAGACAGGATACTGAGCATCATAACAAGCATGCAAAAGACCTCATGACATTCAAGAGTTTTCCATTTCTACAGCATAAACCTCAGAAAGGGCAATGGGTTTGTGCATGAATGTATGTAACTTTTGGATACTACATTTTCCTTCCACAAATAGAAGGGAATTTTATGAATTTTGCCAATTTCTCCCTCCCACCATAACCTCCCAAATCGCTGCCTTCTCATTGTTTGGGATGGTCAGCAATCCTCCAGCATGTATTTCTATGGAAATGCAACAGAGAGAAGAATCAGTGAAAATTGTTTTTCTTTCCACCAAGAGGAGTGTTCCATGAATGGAATGACAGTGCAATCCATTAAATACCAGATTATTTTCTCAGATAAATAGCTTGTTTTATTCCAGATGCAAGTGAAACTTTTGTTTACTGAATATTCAAAATTAACTAATGTGATATTTGAAATGTTTAAAATTACCTTTTTTTAAGCAAAACTTTCTGGAGTGGGAACAGGTCTAGAGTTCATTCAACCTACAATTATCTGTTTCAGTTTTTAGCAGACAGTTTTATGTATAGAATAAAAGGACATGAGCAGTTTTCATCATCTCATAATAGGAACAACACTTCATTAGACAAACTAGAAATAGGAGAACATTTTCTGAGGGGAAAATGTAACAGTGAATCCCAAAATGAATTTTAAAAATTATCAAAGAGAATCATTTGGGGCAGAAAATCCTGCAGAAAATCAGCTTAAATCCTATTAAACATGATTCAATTTAAGCACCTTGTATATGACTAGAATTTCAAGAGTTGCCTGAAATAGGATATATGTCTCTCCCAATCCAAGCTAAAGCCTGTTTTTAAAATAAGAATACAATGCACTAAAATCTCTAACAGATATTCTATCACAATTAATGATCTTTGGACAGAGACAGAGCTGTCTGTTGTACTCCAAATTTTTTAACAACTTAAAACAGATATCAATTATTTTTCATTAAAAGTGTATTACCACAGTTTGGGACTGGCTTCTCCATCAGAGATATCCTCTGGTTGTAGTCATTTATACAGTAAAAATCCTGAGTTTCTGCTTTTGGAAACTTGGTCTCTTGGAATACTTTGATCCACATAATATCACAGGAACACTTGAATGGGTTGCCTTCTAAAATCCTACAGCAGTTGGAGAATTCAACAACAAAAGATTATATTTATATGAGATTTAAGAAAAAATGCTCCAAATAACAGTTGACCAATCAAAGACACTTTAAAATATGACCAGACAGGTCTATACAGTGACAAAAAAGACCACATAAAACCATATTGAATTACACTTGTCTCTGATCTGGCCCATAATTAAGACAAGGATAAAAACACTTTTTATCCCTGTCCAAACAATGTATTTATTCTTCCACTGATTCATGTATGGATATTTAAATATAATATCTGCATTGCATGGAGGTCCATGAGCTTTAACCTACTAATCAAGTAAATCTACATATCAATAAAATAATATTTCTGTAGATCTCACAGCATTCATTGAATCAGAAAATCCCTTTTGCATCTATGTGAAAGGGAATGCATCTTCTAAGATGAGGGCCCAAACCACTATTGGTTTGTTTTTGCCCAAAATATTTTTAATCCATTAATCTAATTTAGTATTCTACAGTCTGGTCCCCTCCAATTCTGTTAGGACTATAATTCCTAATGTTCTTAACAAGTATACTGTAGCTAGTTTGGACAGATTTGGAGAGAAGTAGGTTTGAACAGCTGCAGCTCAGGAGTCTGGTCTTGATTGCATAGAAAAGAATGCCATTTTCTTCAATTCAGCAGAAAAAATATTCTGGACTGAGGACGATAATAATATTTAATTCTGAGTATACGGTTCCCCATAATACAGTTTTAGATGTTTTCTATTATTGTGGATAAACTGAGCTCCCCCTTATGGTCAAACATCACCGAAATATATTTCAAGCAAAAGATGCAAAGACTTGAAAAAGAAGTAATCTATGAAACCCTTGGAAGAAATACAAAGATGGCTTAAGTAACATTAAAGACTACCAACAACAAATACTAGGCTCTAAGGTTTAGAAGAATATATAAGCACATATTGAGGAATTAAAATAAAATTTTTATTATCCACTTAAAATTAACACATTCAAGAAAGCCTAGTTAATTTTGTATTTAAAGTACTTCTTATACTTAATGTATAAAGAACCTAGAATCAAAAATAGCAGCAAAAAGTCCAGATGTCTGGCTCAGGCACGGAACATTATCTCAGCTTTGCTCATAAAAGCATACCTATATTTCATGAGATAATTCATTGATGCACCACTTGATGCCCCTAAGACATTTCATTAAGATGAAACAATCCAGCATTTATTATAACAATCTACAGGAGGTACATTTGATTTGGCCATGATCTTCAAAATCCTTCTGCTAATGTAATTTCATAGAATATTCACAGCAGTTCAGATGTTTTCAAAGCTGTCTAACTAGATCAGCTTAAATAAATATTCAGATCAAAGAGACAGTTTTGTAGGTTTGACAAATTCATGCTAATAGACTGAAAAACTTAAGCAGTCTACTTCCACCTGTTTTGCAGAAACACTAGTTGCTTTTAGCAGCATGTAGAACAGCAGAAAGTATGCAGACCTTGGTATAAATATACATCTACACCAAACACCCTCTATTCTCAGCTCAGTTACACTTTAACTGGAAAAAAGTGGGAACTACATCAGGATTTTTTATCTCCCATATCACAGAATACTTGTTAAACTGCTTGAAAACCACATTATTGTATTTTCCCCAAAATAAAGCAAACCTGCATTTGAAGCTCCCCAAATGGCTTCCAAATCTGGAGACTTCTCCCTCCCCAATAAATGGATGAATGTGCTTATATGTTTTTGTGCATATATGTTTAAGTTTATATAAGTCCAGGAAATAAATGGAATTAACTGACTACAATTATTTGTCTACAAAATAAAGTATCCCATTTATGAAGTTAATTGCTACAGTATTGGCCTATGTGACTTATTCTAAAAATACTGGATAGAGAGGTGATGAAGAGAGACAGGAAAGTGGACAAGGAGGGAAAAAGAGAAAGGAACAAATTGGATGGAAATGAGGTGAGGGGAAGAAATACTAGGATAGGAGAAGTGGGGGAAAAGATAAAGAGCTGTTTAGGCATTTTAAAAGAGCTTAAAATTCACTAGCCCTGCCAAGCAAAAGCTTATCTTCAAAAGCATCCATGATTTTCAGGAACAAGGTTTGCTTTGATTTACAACTATTTAGGAAAAAATTGTCTTCCTATCTGATAAATATGAGACTTATGAAATTAACCGTACTAATACATTGAACAATACAGTTTCTATTATGCAAGTAAAAAGGGGTGGATTTGAACAGATTTGGCATTGTGGATGATGGAAAGGAAATACTTTAACTACCAAACTTGCAGCCAGATTCATGATCCTTCTGGGCCAAGGAGCAAATTTGAAATGTTATGTACATGACACTGGCACCGTGGCAGGTGTAGTCAGAAACAGAACACACATTTACCAGAAAGCAACCTAGCAAGATGGCTCTCCATGAACTCTATAGATTTCCAGGTTGATTTCTACCACTCCAATTTATCTTTGTCATTTTTAACTGGGTAGATGGACACTAGGCTGTAGAACCCTACCATTTACATTTCCTAAGAATGCCTCTTCATTCTAGATGGGTTCCAGAAGCATTTTATTTTTTAAGTAAAGATGATGCCTGAGGCTAGCACTTTGATTTTCAGCAAACTACCTTCCTACCTATAGTGTGTTGGACAATCTGCATTTATGCTTTGAACAACTCACTAAATATATTCTATTGATTAAGTATATTTTGGTGATTTAAAAAAATCATTAAGCCCAGCTTGTAGCATTTTACTTGCTTGCAAGCTTCTTTGGGATTTTTTTTTCATCCTAAAGGGCATGCCTGCACAACATACAGCCCACAGGCCACATAAGGCCCACCAAGCAGCCGTTTACAGCCTGCTGGCATTTTTTGAAAAATACCCAATCCACTGCTGCCAGACTGCTGCCATGGATTTCTCAGCCACTTCCACCCTGAAAGACCCACTGCCAAGCTGCTCCAACACATCCAGCCTTCATAGACACTGCCCTCCTTTGCTGCTGCCATGCCACCATACAGCTGATCGGCACACTTGCTATTTCTTTCTGGTCTCTGACTATTTTTAAGGTATCAATCTCACTCTTTCCCCTTTATGAGTTGTGCAGGCCTACTAAACAGTGAGGTTTAAACTGTACTAAAATATCATTTTTTAAAATGTTTTAAAATGTATATATTTTGTACGAAGTTGTGCAGGAGTGCTAGTGACTGAAAAAGCTGCTGATCTCTGGTATAAGTGACAGCCAAAAAAAGCCAACATAATTGAATTAATCATCAGGAAAAGGAAGGAGAAAACCTCCAAGTCTACAGGAAAAGAGTTTGTATTAACCCTACCACGTTCTTGAGTAGGAGAACCTTGAAAAGACAACTGACAAGGCAAGCATCAAAATACTTGACAATCTGGGCTTGATAAAAACTCGTTTTTAATCAAGAGAGATACTACAGACACATTCTAGGTGCCTCAGTCAACAGACAATGTAAAGATTTGTAAATGTCAAACAAACAAACAAAAACCCTTGGCTTAGTTAATAGATATGTAGTTCAATCTTAGCCATTTTTTTCTGTTACAAATCCTACTAAATTCAGTAGGCCTTACTCCCAAGTAAAACTGCAGAGGACAGCTATCAAATGCAGATCAATGAATGCCTATGGGGCAGCCTTTCAAGATAACAATTACTAGTATCCAAACAGATAATTTCAGTAGTATCTGTCAAAACTTCAATAACCAGCAAAGTCTAACTTTTCTATCATGGCATTGCCACTTCAAGTAATAACAACCAAAAACTGAAACTGCAATCAAGTCTAATCCAGGATTTTGGAAGGAATGAATGAAAAGAGAATTTAATCACTGCCTAAAACTAATTAAAACTAATAAAACTAAAACGGGGGATGCAGTGGCGCAGCGGCTTAATGACGCTGAAAGTTGCCGGCCAGAAATGGTCGAC